ACCATTTTAAGGTTCTTTAATAGACTATTTATGCAAAAGAAATAGCGAACAAATTGCAATGTGTCAGTCACCAGCATGATTCGATACAAACAATATTATATTTAGTAAAACGATTAAAGAAAAATGGTTTATGTAAATAATAATTCTTATTTTAGTTGTGATATGCCTGGTTGAAGAAAAAATAATATATACAGTGTCGAGTGTTTGTTTTGTTTCGAATATGGTTCATATTAAACTGAATATTGGCGAAGGGATAAATTCTAGGGTATGTAAAAATATGCAATAATCTCTTATTAGTGATATCCTGAATAAAACACAAACTCAACTAGGTAGATACCCTGTATATTAAGTAGCAGTTTTTTGTTAAAAAATATAATATCTTGATAATATGGCAACATAGGTATATAGTAGATTAAATTTACAAGAAAGAAAGATACTGGGTGTTCCATTTAAACTAAAGGAGTAACTTGCTTTTAAAGGTATATGTTCAACATTAATTTTGGTTCACCCTGTATAAGTTTTTGGGCCAGATTTTAATTTAATTTATAGTACAATAGTTATTTTAAATACATATTACACTATACCCGGTAAATTCCAATTTAGGTAGCTTTTATTGAAATTTAAAAATTGTTCTTCATTTTTAGTTCTCGGCTTTATTTTCCTCTTATAATCCGAAAATCAATTAATATATAGGGTATTTTATTACAGAAAACACAACTTTGATGTGTAACTTTTTTTACCAACCCAACAACCTGTAGAACTTTCTATATTTTTAAAAAGTGCTCTGAATTAACCTACATATGCTCACAAAATTTCATTTCAATACAGACTGTCGTTCTCCTTGGAACCTCGGCGTCGTATGAGAGGCGCCACCCTGTATTAATTAGAACTCCTTCTGTTAAGTTCGAACCCCATCCATATACCCGTAATTATAGCGTGCAAGTCGGAAAAAAATTGATCATTTTTATCTCTCCAGCCGTCCAACAACTCAATTAGAAGGCATTTCCGATAACCGAGGGGACGGCAGAGCGAAAGGGGACGCGCGAGGGGAAGGGAGCGCTGCGAGGCGCCCGGGAGGTAATTAGTATTGAAAGGGGGACCGGGAATTAATTAGGATAGGGCCGTCAAATGGTTTCGAGTGATGTTTGTCGTCTTCACTGGATTCGCCTATTGTTTCGGTTCGATTTGAACGACGCTGAAGAGTAGGGGAACGGCGGAAGACGGATAGGGGAGGCTGGGGCATGTTTTCTGACGTATTAGTGTCTTGTCGGGGCGCTTTTGACTTAATTAAGGGGGAGTCTGTTTGCGTTTGACGGTTTACCTTGATAATGTAACCTTTAGTGGGTTCGATGACATTAAAAGCACGCTTCGAACTGTTAATAAACAGTTTTTCTTTTCATTAAAAAAAAATTACAGTTCCAAGATTCCAAGAGATTTTTAGGTCTACAAGATTGTGTTTCTAATTTAAATTTAATCTTTGAACTCACAAAGTGTAGTAAGTAATAATCATTTTTTCCATACCAACTGTTAAAATTGCTTTATATCTATCAAAAATAGTAGATAAAATAGTACTTTAAGAACAAGGGTAGATTAAATGATACTTTAACAGCGGGGATAGGTTAAAAACTTTATTTTTTCTCGGACGTTTTTTAATTACTTCCATTTTTGAAAATTTTTGTATTCCTTTTCATAAGTTATTCGGGATTTAAATGGAAGTAGTTTGGATACGACGTTTTTTCCTCAGCCTGAATATCTGTTGGTAATTTACTTATTTCATTTTGAACCATCTGGCCAATTCTGGCTCCAATTCAATCAGCATTCGAAACGAAAGAGAATTAAAAAATATTGACTCAAAACTGACAACTAGAGAGACAGCTTTATTTATTTGTCAAATTACATAGAAACCAACGCCAACCCAGCACAATATTTTTTCTACTCGTAATAAATTCCTTGAAATAATAATTTCTGAATATTTTTTAAAACGTAACTCGCTATGGAAAAAAATATACAGAAAGGTCCAGAGACTTCGAGACATCAATCAAGTCCATTTAGCGTGTGTCGCAATTTTCACACATTAAAAAATTAGGTTTTTATAGCTATAACAACTGCAGCGACTATGAAAAAAGCTGTGTGGTTTTCATAGAAAATAAGGGCACCTGTAATTCATTTGAGAATGTTGTAAATCGCTGAAGAGGTTTCAAATCTCTTGGATGTCTATTAATATTAAATAAATTTTATTAAAAATTGAACTAAAATTGTTAGTATCATTAAAAACAATTCAAATTCAAAAATTGTACCAGTCAAATTCCCTCATTTAAGGTGAATATTAAAGTAAATATAAATACAGCTCATTCTAAGCTCTACTTATCTTTAAGAAAAATTTAAATTATTGGTGCAATTGGGCCTTAATGCCATTTCGAATGAATAATAGTATTAATAATGTACATTATAATAATAATAAATTTTATATTGTAGTGTGTATTAAAACTACTAAAACACTTTTAAATTGGTATTATATTAACAACTTTTGTTTTTTGGATTAAAAAAAATAAAAGTAACAAATTTCTCAATCAAAATATTTGTGGTCCTGAAAAGGACCTTTGTTTTCCCATGTTCGTCAAGGTAGGTAATGGGTAAACGGTAAAAAAACAGGATAATGAAATTTAAAAAATTACAACAATCGTTCAAAAATGTGCCTCCCTCTTGCATTAAACAATAACCCAAACGATCATAAAATCCCCTCTCTCCTCACATTGGATAACCTATCAGAGGTGACAGTGTCAAAGGCATTAAATATTCTCTGCCTTAACTGCTCCAAGTTTTGAATTTCTTCATGGCCGTAAATTTTAGATTTTATGTACCATTGCTGTCAAAAAAAAGTAGTACAACAAAATATGATTTAATCTGCTGGTCTATAATAAAATATTTTCTTTCAAACTGATAACTCAGTGTCATCAGAATTTTTATACTTTTATTTCGCCACGTGTACCCATAAAATAATTAACTAGAAAGAAGTGTCAACTCTGTGTTAAATCGTGGAAACACGATACGCCACCGAAAGCCTTCATTGTCGTCTTGAGAACTAATTTTCCAATTGACAGGTTGACATCATGGTACAAAGAAAACAAGGTATGATCGATAGCGGCTCCAATTTTGTTAAGTTTGCGCATACCACCTGTGACGTCATACGCCCTGCAAGAAAATATACATATTGGTCAATTGCCACTAATAAAAAAAGACCTAAAATAGGGAAGAATTAGGACATAACCCCAAAAGTTATGTCAAATCATCGAGCTTGACATTTGAAAAATTATTTTCACATTTTGGCATAATCAAATTTCACAGATGACATAATCTGTTTGACAATTTGAAATTGGCGCGCAGAGCTTGCCGACCAATGGAGCCGTTTATCACCTGTGACGTAGTGACCAACCTGCGCAATATCATACCTTGTATTCTTTGTATCATGGGTTGACATGATAAGGACATGATGGCTTAGTTTTCATTTCCGTTTCCGGTTATTCAATGGCGGGTCCTCTTTCAGTTCAAATGTATTTTGTATTTTTACTTTTCATAAATAAAACCAAAAAATTATTTATTCACATATATTTATTTGAAATATGGAACAACGTGACTAAATAAAAATAAAAATATAGAGGATTGTATTGTTTCAATACCAATTAGTTAATTATATGTACTTTTAACGTAAATTAGTTAAGGTATAAGCATGACTTACAGTAATTTGTAAATAAACACACGTATTCGCAGACTTCAAGTTGTTGGACACAGGAACATGAAAACGGGAGCCTTATACAAAAACCTGAAAACAGAAAAACAATTTTTTTTATACTAAAATTAACAATGTAAAAATATCAATAGGTATAAAATATAAATATACTGTTTAAAAAAGCGTCCATTATTCCCAAAGAGACCTGGCTTATAAATCAAAAAGAAGCAAAAAGAGACTTTTTTAGTCGGATAACATAATCAGATTATCAGTCCGATTTATTGCATTATTGACAATAAATCGCACATACTGGAGATAACTAATGTTGGCTATAGTTAACAATGATCTTACCTTGCTGTAAATTGCTTCCATTTTCAGAAAAATCGCCGATCAAAGATATTATAATACCCTTTTCTTGCATCTAAAAAATGTAAAAACAGTGTTTATTTACTACCTATTTTTCATATACATGGGACATACCTACTACTGCAGAAACGTCGTTTTCTCCAGGATTCTTCATGTAATATATATTTTATATACTTTATTACCATTATATTTATAAATTTCAGCCGAAATATTAAATTGAACTTCCAAAACGAAACTAAACGGAATGAATTAAAATGGCGTCGAATATTTTCGAATTTGTTCTAGAACAAATCTGAAGTTGTCTCTGAAACTGAAATCTGTCAATTCTAAACTGTGAAGTTAGACAATAGTTAGACAAAAACAATGCTGTCCTTGTCTAGGCGGCCATACTTGTCGTGAGGAGAATGACAGGAATGACACTAATGACTGTTTCCAATTTTCCTATTTCACTGTCACCCCCCTGCGTGTACCTACCAATTATTACCAAATCCATGGTAACGCCTAAAAAGTTAGGTGGCATAATTATATCATATCATATGTCGATGGCATATCGATATCCTTATAGACCAGGAGTTCTATCTGGGACTACTAATTCTTGTACTACTTTTTTTTATCGCAATGGTACCCCCATAAAAAGAAATCATTCACCGAGAAATCAGGTGAAATTAAACGTCAGTCTAAACAAAACTGTAATTTTTGAAAAAACTTGTCAAAATTTGAACACACGCTAAATGGACTTGATTTTCCTATGTCTCGAAGTCTATGGACTTTTCTGTATATGGTCTCACGAAATTAATTTACTCGCTATTTTATCGCTCGTGAATTAATCTTTTCGGTTAACGATAAAATACCACTTTATCTTGTATAAAAAATAACTATTTAACTATATCTACCTTCTTTTTTTCAGGATGCTTCCCAACAAAACCGTATCCTTTCAGCTGTGAGAGGTCGCTTGCGTCAAGTAGCCTCCTCCCTGCAGGCTGCGGTGAGGTTCAGGAGATTCTCGCGACGTGGCGCCACAGCTCCTGATTGGTTCGTGGACAAGAGCCATCAGGAGGACAGCGGGGATGTGGTCGAGGACCTCAGGGATGGTTGCTGGGGCTACAGGGTTGTGTTCGACCCTGCCTCTCCTAATTACTACAAGGTATGTACAGATATATAGGGGTATAGGGGGAGGTCAGACGGTAATAGCGCGTAATAAGTTTTTTGATCGATCTTTAATATTTTTTTAGGTTGTAACACTGTCGCAAGTTAATAATATTATTTTTTTAAAGGTTGCTAGAGACTTGGATTAAGACTAGTTAATAAAATTGCGTTTATCTCATCAAGGAGGCTAAAATCGACAAAATATCAAGAGGCAAATTTTAATCGGCATTAAACGGCTTACACTATTTCGCTAACAAGAGAAAAAAATGTCAGTGGCTTACATGCTTTTTTTTTTAGAAAAATATTTTAGTAATAACCCATCTGCACGTCCCTGGTGGATATGTCGACACTTTTTTAGCATTAAAATATGTCGCACTTAAAGTAACTTTTACCCTCAAAATTTCATTCGAATCGCTAAAAACGCTTGGAAGAAAATTATAATAAATCGAAAGATTATTAAGCCTTTAATACCCTGTAGCTACGAAACAAATCAGAATCGGATCGATGTTGAAATGAAATATAAATCTTATTTTTACGTGAGGAACCTTCCTACAAGGAGATGGCACATGTTTTTTAAAACACCCTGTATAGTTTATTAATTACTAGGTCTATGACAAGATATAACGATTTTAACAGGTCTTACAACCTAAAACCTAAACTATTATCAGCATTAATGTTATACATATTATATTCCTTTAACAAAGCTTAGTATGTACGTAGACAAAAAAATAACCCTTTCTCTATCTCTACATACGTCACATCCTCTAACAAGCCACAGGACGTACTCTTGTCCCTATCATTGTTCCCTCTGATATTTATGGTCTCTAAGTGGAATGACCATACATGGAGGGCATTACTCATTGTGTCCGGCCGAGGACACATCATTAATAAATTTCCATCGCAGGTCAAAATTTAATTATCTTTTAGCAAAGGAATATATAGAGTGTCCCAGAAGTAAGTGCAGATATTTACTTGTAGTATGTTTCGGTCCCCGAAACACGCAAAAAAAAATTGTTGAAAATGTTGTATTTTTCTTGACATTCTCCGGGAAATTTTAAAAAACTTTTTATTGCCACTTGCCACGTTTATTTACCTGAAATTTATCTAGGGTGTATCTAAACCTTCCAGTGTTGCCACCTCCTACATTATCCATGTTCAACATATTATTTGTATTCACTGTAATTTTAAATTTGTACACAAAAAATTGTGTATTAATTCTAATCATATCAGTGTTTATTACTATGTTAGCTAGTATTTACTAGGTTATTACTTGGCGTTGGTTTCTATGTAATTTGACAAATAAATAAAGCTGTCTCTTTAGTTGTCAATTTTGAGTCAACATTTTTTAATTCTATTTGGTGTCGATTGCTGATTGAATTGGAGCCAGAAATGGCTTAAAACCTCAAAACGAAATAAGTAAATTACCAAGAGATATTCAGGTTGAGGCGACAAACGCCATATCCAAACTTCTTTTTTTCTTTCTACGTGCCGTCTCTTTCGTGGAGGTTGGCAATCACATTGGCAAAATATTCACGATTCTCGGCTTTCCTTATGAGTTCTTCAAAAGTTAGGTGAGTCCAGTTTCTGATGTTTCTCAACCAAGATAGTTTCTTCCTGCCGAGGCCTCTCTTTCCTTCAATCTTACCCTTAACTATCAATTGTAAGACGTGATATTTTTAATTTCTCAATATATGCCCTAAGTATGATGTTTTTCTTATTTTTATTATATTGAGCAATTCTCTTTCTCTGCTTATTCTGTTGTAGACTTCGGTATTTGTGATATGGGCTGTCCATGGAATTTTAAGCATTCTTTGATATATCCATGTTTCGAACGATTCGAGACGATTCATCTCTTGAACTTTCAGTGTCCATGTTTCTGATCCGTATAATAGGATTGACCAAACATAACACTTAACGAGCCTAGTTCTCAACTCAAGGTCCATTCTGGGGTTCTGGAAGACGTTCTACATTTTTAAAAATGCATTTCTCGCTTGTTCTATTCTGGTTTTTATTTCCACGTCGTTGTTCAAGGTGTTAACTATCCAGGACCCCAAATATTTGAACTTGTAGACCTGTTCTAAGGCATTGCCTTCTCTTTTAATAGGAATTGGTACATTTTGGTTCTTTCCAAATACCTTACCGTATTTCTTACAGGAGCCTTCAAGTCGTTCCACTAAACTCTGGAGACCGGTATATATCCAAACTACTTCCATTTAAATCCCGAATAACTTATGAAAAGGAATACAAAAATTTTCAAAAATGGAAGTGATTAAAAAACGTGCGAGAAGAAATAAAGTTTTAACCTATCCTCGCTGTTAAAGTGTCATTTAATCTACCCTTGCGGTTAAAGTACTATTTTATCTACTATTTTTCATAGTTATAAGGCAATTTTAACAGTTGCTATGCAGAAAAAACAATAAATAGTTCTACTATATATTTAAACAATTTTTATTGTGCAAAACTGCCAGAAACCTTTATATTATCTTCTTTATGGATAAAAATCCTCCAGCTGTTCAATCGACGAAATTTGACTGTAAAATCCTTCATATTGAAGGAAAATTATTAAATTTTCCCCACCTGGGGTCCCTCACTTAAAGGGTGATTTTCTAAACTATCAAACTCTTTCTGGAATCAAGATATTTTTTATCGATATATCAAAAGCAAATAATAAAAATAAAAAAACCTTTATCAATCATATCATACTCCCGTATTTGTTCTTGTACCATGATATTAACAAATTTACCGTATTATTATTATATCGATAAGGATATTGATAGTAACTCTATTATTATTGCCATCTTTTATTTAATTCACTTAAATCAAGTGCCTAGAGTGAGCCAAAGTGACATTCGTGGTGATATTCATGTAATCCAACAAGAATGGCAGTTTATAATATTCAAGAATTCAAAAAAATTGAACGTTTTTTGTTGAAATTTACCAATAGTTCAATCAATGAGGTAGGATACTATTTTAATATTTTTAAAATAGTTCTAATTGATTTATTAGAAATTTCACCAATTTTCACATCCACTGACAACTCTCTAGTAAGTGACATTAGTCTATGCTGGCAACTCTTCTTAACAGATATTGTACAGGGTATTCGACAAATGCACCTTAAATATTAATTTTTTTGAATTTGCTGTAGGTACTAATGTTATAAATTATAATATGTTATCAAGTATTTTAATACATTAGTTGCAAATTGAAATGAAACTCGAGGTGCGTTTTTTGAACACCTTGTATACGATCATATGTGTTTGTTAGCATTTTAAAAACAGTTATAATAGTAGGTACATAAATTAGGAGAAAGTTCTAGAACTTTTTTTTTGGTGATATCACAGCGAACTTTTCAATGATAATTCTTTTACCTTATGCTGGTATATAGGTAATTTAATTTAAGTTTTTAGTATTACGCCAAATTTATAACAAATAGCTGTGGTTTGTTTGTATTATATCTGAAATGAGTTGCTTGTGGCTAGAAAATTGTGTAGTTAACTTTGCAGATGTCCATCTTGTTAAAGTAAGCTGTAGAATTGTTGTTATAGATTATTTTGAATTTTAAAGTTAAAAATATGAAAAAAAATTGGCCCATACTAAAATATGTTAATATCTCGAAAACTGCGACTTTGACTGATTTTGATGTTATTACAAATTTTGCTGCAAATATTATTCCTAATCTTAATTTGAAAACCGCGTTTCGCTAGCTACTGTAATTTTGGAGTTACGATTTTTTAAAAATTTTAACCCCCTCCCATACCCCTTTACCAACCCCCCACCCCCACCAAAAACTAATGGCCAGATTCTCGGGTGCCACAGTATTTTTGTACCAAATTTGGTTAAAATCGGTTTAGCGGTTTTTGAGTTATCGTGTTACAGACAGACGGACAGATTTAGGTCATTTATGACCCAAATAACTCTTTTTCAATGAAATTAAAAAAAAAATTTTTGCCGATCTTAACGGCCTACGATACCTATTGATATGGTCAGCTAAAAAGTCAGTGGCGCACATGATTTTTTTTTGAAAAATATTCCAATGATAACCTATATGTACGTCCCTGATGAATTTATCGACACTTTTCTGGCATTAAAATATGTCGCACTTATAGTAACTTTTGCCCTCAAAATTTCATTCGAATCACTAAAAGTACTTGGAAGAAAATTATAATAAATCGAAAGATTATTAAGAGTTTAACACCCTGTAGCTTCGAAACAAAGCAGAATTGGACCTATGTTGATATGAAAAATAAATCTTATTTTTACATGAGGAATCTCCCCACGAGAGATGGCACAGGTTTTTTGAAACACCTTGTATAAGATGTGGAAACTAAATATTAACAATAATCATAAGCACACAGTCTGGAAAATATGGTGATTTTTTAACTTTTTTATGAAAAACGGTACATTTTAGGCAACTCTCCCCTACCAATTAATAGAAAATATCATTTAGGCTAAAATGAAAGTCTATAAATTAACAATTAAAATGTCCTTTATTCAGTTTATTTATCTAAAAGTAATTCCAAACTCGAACAATGTATAATATCAAATTTATTTCCCAAATAAATTAACCTCTGACAAATTTTCCGCTTTGAATATCAATGAAATTTCGGTCATGTTTATTGTGGTTTATTATGTCCCTTTAGAACTTTGTTTACATAAAATTCACCTGAAAAGGACGAGTATATCATATTAATAAAGTCTAGCTTTACACATAACGTTTTACCGGTCAGTTTTAACTGTTCAGTCGTTTGAATAAAAATATTAGGGAAGGTGTATAAATGCTATCCATGTATTCATGCATGGTAGCCGCAGGTAGGATCCTCCGGTGGGGATCTTTGACAGTTCTATTTGACGATTCATTTGACACATTTGAATTTGATTTGAAATTTTGTGGATTTGTCTCTCTCTTGGTGCTTTTCATATTTGAAGGAATAGTATTTATGTCGTTTCAAAATTCTAAACGCTGTAGTGTGATCTATTCCTATTTCATCCCCAATTTCCTTGTGCTGATCTTTCCATCGTTCTCTTCCACGCACAATAAAACTTCCAAGTCGGTATCATTTCTTGCATCTTCTCTTTGTTCCTGCCTTGCTTCACATCTGCAGTTATTTATTAGGGTACGCTTGGTCTCAAATCTCTGGATATTCCTTGCGATTGTAGATTTTCCAGGTATCGGTCTATTCGGATACAGAGCAGCAAACATGTCCGACACCTTTTGATAACTATTTCCTTGATAATACCATTTAATCATTAATACTTTTTCTTCGATAGTGTAATTCATGGCTAATATTTTCGATGTAGGTATGAGTTTTTAATAATAATAATAATGCACTAAATAGATAAATTTCTGAAATGACAACTTCATTTGACAGTTATCTTTTACCTTGACTGGTGCTCATAAGTAAATACAGGGCCTTAAGAAAGGAGAAATATTTAAAAAGAAATCGGCGATAACTCGTAATCGGGCTAATCAAAAATATCTAAAGTTATTCTTTTGAATGTGGGTTTTAGTGCTCTTCAATAAACCTAAATAGAATTATTCTCTAAAATCATTAGGGAAGCCAATAATTGACCCCATTAAAATTTACATGGGATTTCCTATGTCCCGCTCGACGATGCAACACCCGGTATTTTTATAACAATTTTAATAACTATCAACATTTATTGACAACGTAAAATAAAACAACAAATTATTGAGTCTGTCCTACATCATATTTTTACACGTTTTTGAAGTTTTTACAAGTTTAAGATTATTCACGCTACTATTTTTATTGTTTTCAGTGGCTTATGGTGGTTTCCTTGGCAGTGCTGTATAACGTAGTGTTCGTTTTAGGCAGAGCAGTGTTCTGGGAACTCAACATTTCAACACCGGGTCTATGGTGGACCTTGGACTCTGTGTGCGATATTATTTATATTTTGGACACCTTAGTTCATGCCCATGAAGGTAAGAAACTGTACGGTATTCTTTTATAAATGTATTTAGAATATTAAAAAAATATAATATTCTATTTGAATTAATTGATTTGAATGCAGACTGTAAAAAACGGTAGGTACTGTATTAGTTATTTGTAGCAGAAACACTGTAAAACCCACGAAAATGGGACAACCTGTACTCTCAACTTAATTCATAATTTTTTTCCATAGCAACTGTTAAAATTGCCTTATATCTATCAAAAATAGTAGATAAAATAGTATTTTAACCGCAAGGGTAGATTAAATGATACTTTAACAGCGAGGATAAGTTAAAAACTTTATTTCTTCTCGCACGTCTTGTATTCCTTTTCATAAGTTATTCGGGATTTGAACGGAAGTAGTTTGGATATGGCATTTGTCGCCTCAGCCTGAATATCTGTTGGTAATTCACTTATTTCGTTTTGAGCCATTTCTGGCTCCAATTCAATCAGCAATCGACAGGAAAGAGAATTAAAAAATATTGACTCAAAACTGACAACTAAAGAGACAGTTTTATTTATTTGTCAAATTACATAGAAACCAGCGCCAACCCAGCACAATATATTTTCTACTCGTAATAAATTCCTTGAAATAATAATTTCTGAATATTTTTTAAAACGTAACTCGCTATGGAAAAAAAATATTGTTTTATACACGACGATAAAATTGCATTATCGTCTCCCGAAATTAATTCACTCGTGGATTAATCTTTTCGGTCGACGAAAAAATACCATTTTATCGTCTTTTATAAAAAGTAACTATTACAGTACAATTTATCAAGAAAAAAAGTATAATTATTTTTCTCTAAAGTCCTCTCTTAAACCATACCTACTCCGGTTACTTTCCATAAAGTAAGAAAGCATAAAAATCAACAGAAGAGAATAAAGACTGTATAGGGCTGCTTGGAATAAAAAAGGGGATGCCCGGCCCTTGTTTGCCTACGTATTAAGGAAATACGCTTCGAGTTAAATGCGTATAAAGCGAAAAATTATCATTCATAATTTTTCTCTGTGCACACCAGTCCAGAAAGAAATTTATCGTTTGCCTTTGTCTCACTGTGTTGGCCGATAGTCAATATTTGCCCGTGTCGTTGACGTAACGTCAAAAATAATACGTATCAGGGTGTGGGATAATTTTTTTCTAATTTTCTTCGTTCAGTTTGAAGTACGATCAATCGTAGTAGGTCTTTATCGAATATTAGAGGTGACACGAAAAATCTCTATACAGGAGTCCCTTGTTTTACGTGGCATTGTTGGCACTAGTGTTTTTTTTGTGAAAGGTTTGTATTTTAGTTAAATAAAGGAAATACTTAAAAAAATTGATAATTATTATCAATTTTTATTTCTTCTCTTCCCTCTTCCCTCTTCCCTCTTCCCTCTTCCCTCTTCCCTCTTCCCTCTTCCCTCTTCCCTCTTCCCTCTTCCCTCTTCCCTCTTCCCTCTTCCCTCTTCCCTCTTCCCTCTTCCCTCTTCCCTCTTCCCTCTTCCCTCTTCCCTCTTCCCTCTTCCCTCTTCCCTCTTCCCTCTTCCCTCTTCCCTCTTCCCTCTTTCCCCCCAATCAATAAATCAATAAATCAATAAATCAATAAATCAATAAATCAATAAATCAATAAATCAATAAATCAATAAATCAATAAATCAATAAATCAATAAATCAATAAATCAATAAATCAATAAATCAATAAATCAATAAATCAATAAATCAATAAATCAATAAATCAATAAATCAATAAATCAATAAATGAATAAATGAATAAATGAATAAATGAATAAATGAATAAATCAATAAATCAATAAATCAATAAATCAATAAATCAATAAATCAATAAATCAATAAATCAATAAATCAATAAATCAATAAATCAATAAATCGATAAATCAATAAATCGATAAATCAATAAATCAATAAATCAATAAATCGATAAATCAATAAATCGATAAATCAATAAATCAATAAATCGATAAATCAATAAATCAATAAATCAATAAATCGATAAAGCAATAAAGCAATAAAGCAATAAAGCAATAAAAATAAATCAATAAATCAATAAATCAATAAATCAATAAATCAATAAATCAATAAATCAATAAATCAATAAATCAATAAATCAATAAATCAATAAATCAATAAATCAATAAATCAATAAATCAATAAATCAATAAATCAATAAATCAATAAATCAATAAATCAATAAATCAATAAATCAATAAATCAATAAATCAATAAATCAATAAATCAATAAATCAATAAATCAATAAATCAATAAATCAATAAATCAATAAATCAATAAATCAATAAATCAATAAATCAATAAATCAATAAATCAATAAATCAATACTACTGGTAACTAATAAAGTTTTGTCTTGTCTCGTCTTGTCTCGTCTTGTCTCGTCTTGTCTCGTCTTGTCTCGTCTTGTCTCGTCTTGTCTCGTCTTGTCTCGTCTTGTCTCGTCTTGTCTCGTCTTGTCTCGTCTTGTCTCGTCTTGTCTCGTCTTGTCTCGTCTTGTCTCGTCTTGTCTCGTCTTGTCTCGTCTCGTCTTGTCTCGTCTTGTCTTGTCTCGTCTCGTCTCGTCTCGTCTCGTCTTGTCTTGTCTCGTCTCGTCTCGTCTCGTCTCGTCTTGTCTCGTCTTGTCTCGTCTTGTCTTGTCTCGTCTCGTCTCGTCTCGTCTCGTCTTGTCTTGTCTCGTCTCGTCTCGTCTCGTCTCGTCTTGTCTCGTCTTGTCTCGTCTTGTCTCGTCTTGTCTCGTCTTGTCTCGTCTTGTCTCGTCTTGTCTCGTCTTGTCTCGTCTTGTCTCGTCTTGTCTCGTCTTGTCTCGTCTTGTCTCGTCTTGTCTCGTCTTGTCTCGTCTTGTCTCGTCTTGTCTCGTCTTGTCTCGTCTTGTCTCGTCTTGTCTCGTCTTGTCTCGTCTTGTCTCGTCTTTTCTCGTCTTGTCTCGTCTTGTCTCGTCTTGTCTCGTCTTGTCTCGTCTTTTGCAATTGCGGGGATCTGGTCATTTCGCCACTGCAGTGACCTGGTGATTCTCCCACTGCCTGGACCTGGTGATTTTGACACGCAGAGGCATGGTGATTTTGCCACTGCGGCGACATGGTGATTTTTCCACTGCAGGGACCTGGTGATTTTTCCACAGCCTGAACCTGCTTATTTTGCCACTGCAGGGACCTGGTAAATTTGCTACTGCAGTGACCTGATGATTTTTCCACTGCCTGGACCTGGTGATTTTGACACTGCAGAGGCCTGGTGATTTTCCCACTGCGGCGACCTGGTAATTTTTCCACTACCTGGTGATTTTACCACTGCGGGGACCTGGTGATTATACCACTGCGGGGACTTGGTGATTTTGCCACAGCAGGGACCTGGTCATTTTTCCACTGCAGTGACCTGATGATTTTCCCACTGCCTGGACCTGGTGATTTTGACACTGCGGCGACCTGGTGATTTTCCCAATACCTTGTGATTTTCCTACTGCGGGGACCTGATAATTTTGCCACTGCAGGGACCTGGTGATTTTTCCACAGCCTGGACCTAGTGATTTTGCCACTGCAGGAACCTGGTAATTTAGCCACTGCGGGGTCCAAGTAACTTTCCCACTGTGGGGACCTGGTGACTTTGCCTCTGCAGGCACCTGGCGATTTTCACACTGCTTGGACGTGGTGATTTTGCCACTGCAGAGCCTGGTGATTTTCCCACTGCGGGGACCTGGTGATTTTCCCACTGCCTGGACCTGATCTCGTCCCGTCTCGTCTTGTCTTAAAAATAAATGATTGTCTTAAAAATATCTTATTATAATAATTTTCTTAGACGCGTATGGCACAGATCGTTACCCAGATCGAGTTAAATTGTTGACCTACACTAGTTCCTGACACTAGCTCGTGTGTCACGGCCTTGAATTTTTACCCCCAACGCGTGTAAAGAAGTGTCACTTCAAAAACTTTCCCGCTTCCGTGTCATCTACAATCTAGCATTCTCTGACATACCGGGTGACTCCAAAAAACAATTAAAGGACCCGTATTGTCTCAAGTCCGACCTTGCGGGCGACGCCACGCGTCTTGCGGCGATCAATTAAGACGCCTCGGACGCCGGGCGTCGTGACTGAGGTCACAGTCGCAATAAACGTCAAAAACGTTGAAGAAACAGAGAGGGGGAGACGTGTGTTTGTGTCTGTTCTCCATTGTAATTAGTGCGGTGCGCCGGGGTTAAGTGGTGTTTGCCGGGGGTAAATAATGCCCTTGCGTGTCGCGCCCACCCCGCCAGACCTTAATAAACGGATGGATTACTTTATTAAATTTGTTTAAAGGCGAATTAAATAGATTTCTATCTGGATATTGGCCGTAGGTCTTGTCTGGATGGCTTATTGTTCCTGTTTGTTTCTGCGCTTGCCCTTGACATCACTATTTTTTATATTTAACACGAGAGGATCGGTCTAAGCCTTAGGCAGATTTCTGAAATATAATATACATATATTTCCTTCGGCCACACACCCGCTTTACCAGACCCATGAGACCGACACGAACAGTACAGCGTTCAAGCTTTGATATTTTTTTTGCAGGCTACTTGGAACAAGGACTATTAGTCACCGATCCAAGGAAACTTAGAGCACACTACCGCCAATCAAAGTCTTGGAAAACCGACGTTTTCTCGGTACTGCCCACCGATCTAGCCTATTTCTGGTGGTGGCCTTTCGACTGCCAGAACAAGGTACCCTGTAGCGTGATAGTGCGACTGAACAGACTATTCAAACTGCCCAGGTTGTGGGAATGGTTCGAAAGGACAGAAACAGACACAAACTACCCCAACGTGTTCAGGATATGCAAGGTGGTACTGGCCATTTTGGTACTTATCCATTGGAACGCCTGTTTGTATTTCGCTATAAGTTATGCTATAGGTAAGTTAGAGGAAATCAATGTACAGTTCATATCAAATAAATTTTAGTCACGTGATTAAGCTTAAACACGTACAGCGTTGTCAACTTTTACATATTTTCTTTTAAACAAAATATTTTAGGAAACAAAATTAAATTAATAATTATAAATATACAGGGTGTTTCAAAACAAATGCGAAAAACTTCAGGGGGTGATTCCTTATTCAAAATAAAGGGTAGTTTGCTTCATAAACGTTGGGTCAAAAGTCAACCATTAGGGAGATATTGCGGTACAAAGATGGCGGAAAAATAATGTTTTTATTTTTTATCTTGAAAACGAAAAGAGATAGACTAATAAAATTTTATGGAAGCATTACTGTTATGGAAACACACTTTCTGGTAATTTTTCACTTTTTAAAATGAGTGGAAGGGGTTGAAAAAACTACCCCTATCATTCTTGTTAACGAAATTTAAAGAAAAATCTTATCAAATACATGCAAAAAAATTAATTTGGATAGTTTAGTTTGTTTAGAAACTTTTTTATCTCTTGTATTTTTTGATAAAACTCACCGATTTGAAATTAAAAAATAAAATGTAAAGCATTACATGTCAGGACAAAAAACATTTTCTGATAAAGAATCTAGTGGGCTGCTGTAATTTTTTAGGAAAAAATCTAGTCGGCCGCTGTTACTTTTTAGGATGTTCCTAATATTATTTTATTTGACATTACTCTACTGCAATACGTTATTATCTAGATGATTATTATTATCGTTATCATCACTAGATTCTTAAACTAAAAATGTTTTTTGTCCTGACATGTAATGCTTTACATTTTATTTTTTAATTTCCAATCGGTGAGTTCTATCAAAAAAACACAAGAGGTAAAAAAGTTTCTAAACAAACTAAACTATCCAAATTAAAGCATTTGCATGTGTTTGATAAGATTTTTCTTTAAATTTCCTTAACAGGAATGATAGGGGTAGTTTATTTCGACCCCTTCCACTCATTTTAAAAAAGTAAAAAAATTACCTGAAAGTGTGTTTTCATAACAGTAATGCTTCCATAAAATTTTATTAGTCTATCTCTTTTCGTTTTCAAGATAAAAAATAAAAACATTATTTTTCCGCCATCTTTGTACCGCGATATCTCCCTAATGGTTGACTTTGACCACGTGATTAAGCTTAAACCCGTACAGCGTTGTCAACTTTTACATATTTTCTTTTAAACAAAATATTTTAGGAATTAAATTAATAATTATAAATATATAAACAGTTATTATTTAAATCAACAAAACTCACCTTCTTAACAGTACTTAAGGGACATAAAGGGCCATTACTACCGCTTTCCCGTTCAAAATATTCTAATAAAGTTGCGATGAGCTTTTTACGGCTTTTAAGCTATCTTGTACAGGGTGTCCCACTAAAAATAGCTCTCGGCTGTATCTCGGAAAGTATTAGCCGTAGGGGCTGCGCAAAAAAATACTTATAACTAAAGAGGCTATGGGAAATTGCTGGAAATTATTTTCAAGTTTGTAAAACGACCGCTAGGGGGCGCAACTGCAACAAAAAACAAGAAAATGGAGTTTTTACACAATTTTGCCTAGAGAAGGTGTACTATAAGTAATAGCTTCATAATCTTCAGTAAATTTTGAATATTTTTTGTTAAAGTCATTATTCCCTATCTACCAAAATAAAGTGGTGGGGGAAGGTTAGATCTGTTTTTATTTAAATATTAATAACTCTGGACGGGATGATCGGAATCCAACAAGCCAGAGCTTGTTTAAAAGAGCGTTTCTTACTCTATACTTTACCATATAAACAATAATAATAAGCTTTTGAACGTAGACGCTAGGGGGCGTTGCCTTAAAATTTAACAAACATTGCGCGTTTTTTCAAAAAAGTTAAATGCAATAGTATATGTAATTTTAGCGGATAGTAAAGAGTGGTAAAAGCTTAAAAAGTCAGCGAAAACCGCATCTTGATATCTTCTTTCAAACCGAAGATATTAGCAAAATTATAATAAATACCAAAAAATAAGCCCTTACATTACCTTATTTTTACAACACGGTATCAGTAGCCCTCTTAATTATGCCTATTCTAACAAAAAAATAAGATAGAAAGAGTTAGTTTATTTAAAATCGACAAAATACCAGAATACCATAATACCAGAGGTATTAATATCTAATAATTAAGATATTAATAACAGTGAACAAGAAACGATGATTAAGTGAAGTCATGGCAGGCTTTGGAAAAACGTTGCTTTTGACGTAATAAACGTATAAACGTCAAATTGTTATTAGATCAACTTTTTGATAGTCTTATCAGCGTTTTTTATCTTTTGATTGCTTTTTCAAAATGCCAACAACTTCCAACTATTTCTAATAATAAAGGGATTTTGAAAAAGCAATTAAAAGATAAAAAACGCTGATATGAATATCAAAATGTTGATCTAATTACAATTTGACGTTTATACTATTACGTCAAAGGAACTTTTTTCCAAAGCCTACCATGACTTCACCGAATCATCGTTTCTTGTTCACTGTTATTAATATATTAATTATTAGATATTAGTACCTCTGGTATTATGGTATTCTGGTATTTCGTCGATTTTAAAATAAACTAACTGTTTCTATCTTATTTTTTTTTGTTAGAATGGGCATAATTAAGAGGGCTACTGATACCGTGTCGTAAAAATAAGGTAATTAAGGGCTTATATTCTGGTATTTATTATAATTTTGCTAATATCTTCGGGTTGAAAGAAGATATCAAGATGCGGTTTTCGCAAACTTTTTAAACTTTTACTACTCTTTACTATCAGCTAAAATTACATATACTATTGCATTTAATTTTTTGGAGAAAACGCGCAATGTTTGTTAAATTGTAAGACAACGCCCCCTAGAGTCTACGTTCAAAAGCTTATTGTTATTGTTTATATGGTACAATATAGAGTAAGAAACGCTCTTTTAAACGAGCCCTCGCTTGTTGGATTCCGATCATCCAATCCAGAGTTATTAATATTTAAATAAAAACAAATCTAACCTTCCCCCACCACTTCATTTTGGTAGATAGGGGAAAATGGTTCTAACAAAAAATATTCAAAATTTACTGAAGATTATGAAGCTATTACTTATAGTACACCTTATCTAGGCAAAATTGTGTAAAAACTACATTTTCATGTTTTTTGTTGCAGTTGCGGCCCCTAGCGGTCATTCTACAAACTTGAAAATAATTTCCAGCAATTTCTCATAGTCTCTTTAGTTATAAATATTTTTTTCCACAGTCCCTACAGCTAATACTTTCCGAGATACAGCCGAGAGCTATTCTTAGTGGGACACCCGGTACACTAAAAGAGGTTCTAAAAAGAAGAATGTTCGACTGCAAGGTCTACTAATAAACATTTTTAAGCTTAAAGTCTCACAACACTAATTATTTCAACCAAAAACTCGTAATACAAAACTAAAGTGTCAAAACCTTTGAATAAGAAGACTAAGGAAGTACTAAGAAGACTAAGGAAGTACTTTTAATAAGAAGACTAATGCTATCCATGTATTCATGCATGGTGGGCGGAAAAGCCACCATAAAAGCTCTCTAGGGTGGGGATCCTTGACAGTTCTGTTTGACGATTCATTTGACACATTTGAATTTGATTTGAAATTTTGTGGATTTGTCAGTCTTTACGGAGCTTATTTTATGTTATTTATTATTTATTCTACTACTGATAGTTGTATAAAGGTAGTAAATCTAGATGGAAATTGTGGCAGAACATAAATTAACAGTGACACTATCGCGATTTATCGAAAAAGACTCTAAAATAGTTGGTTGTTTAGCGTGCGGTAGATCTCGGCAAAAATTGAGTGAAACAACTTTTCGCTAGTAAGTGACTATATAATATACATACGTGTAGTAAACCGATCATTTATGAAATTCACTTAAATTAACTAAATTATATATTTTTCTTGCATTTTTAGCTTTTATTTATTACTTGTCAAAGATTAGATGTCAAATAATGTTAGATACGTCAATTTGACTTAACCTGCTTTAGTTGTATCGTGATGTTTGTGTTAATAAATGCTTATTATAACACAATCCATTTTTATTAGAATTGTATATTTTTATAACAATTTTAATAACTACCAACATTTATTCACAACGTAAAATAAAACAACAAATTATTGAGTCTACCCCACGTCTACCCTACATCATAGTTTTACATTTTTTAAATAAAATTAGAACGACACTGATAAACCGGAATTTAAGTCGGCCATATTTGAGGCCCATCGCGGTGTACCTAAGATTTTTGATATGCTCCTTCCTTAGTCTTCTTATTATAAGGTCAAAACGAATGACAAAATGTCAGGAAATAAATAAATGAATGTGGTAACTTGACATTTTTTACAGCAGAGCTACTACCTGAATCCCCAGCGGGAAATTTAAATTCCAGTTAGTCAGCCCGGCGCCGAATATGTCCATGGTTGGCAACAATGAATTTAAAAATCGCGCCTTCGATTACGTAACTAAAAGTTTAATTGGTATCAAATATGATATTGTTATGTATATATATTAGTATGATTATTTTCTAAAATGTTTTTATTTTCTTTCTATACTGACATATTCACAGCACTATACAGTTAGTGCATCTTCTAAACAGTAGTTTTACAAAAAAATATTATTATAAAATCCTGAAATACTAAACTACCCCTTATATTTGCGATCCAGGGCCAGCTGGATGTTTTATGATTTTTATACGGCCCTATATCTTTATATATCCCTTTATAAGTCCTTCCCCATTCTTTATATTCTTTTGCGATCCTTATAAAATGAAGGAGTTTTTTTTTACTTGAAACATCGAGTGTGGTGTAAAATTACACTCTTGGTATAGTAAAAATTATTTTTTATACTAGGTAGGCATATAAACTCACCAATGTATATAAAGGGTAATTCAAATAGAAGCTTCCCAAGTGGAAACCAACTTAAAGCTAACCTCTGTAAAACCATCTCACATACTAACTTTTGTCAAAGCCCTGAGACTGTATGATGAGTTATAACTCAAAAAATGGAGACAAAATAGACCTATTACATCTATCTACATCTATAACTATTTTGCTTAAATATATTTCTGCTTTCTTCTAGGTTTTGGTACTGATAACTGGGTGTATAACTTGGACGGGGCCAAGAACTCAACCTTAGCCAGACAGTACATTTATAGTTTTTACTGGTCTACACTGACACTGACCACGATAGGTGAAACTCCAGTACCTGAGAATGATGCTGAGTACCTTTTTGTGGTAGCCGATTTCTTGGCAGGTGTCCTGATATTCGCCACTATTGTAGGTTAGTAACACATACTATTTTTTTTAAATAACATCCGGTTTAAATAATCCTGCGTGTATCTGCGAAACCATTAAAAATTTTCAAATACTTTAAATACAAAAAATGTTCGTTTATTAACTCTCAATCTAATAAAAAAATAATATACAGGGTGTTCCATTTAAAAAAAAACAAAGAAAAATTATTTTATATTTTAGAAAGTAAAATATTTTCCTGAAATACATCCTCGTTCATACTTTAGGTTTGCACTGAAACAAAATTCTAAAGTTTTTTTATTCTAGGATACAGATGCTTGACGCACTATTGCCGGTCTCTACATAATTATATTTTAAATTAAACATTCCTCATCAATACCTTACTGTGAAAAGACAAAAATAAATAATTAAAAAATCTGGAATGCATATTTAATTCCCATTTTTCCGGGCCTATACCTCTCGATTCTTTTATCCAGAAAAATTTAAATGAAAAAGAGGATAAGACAGAGAAATCCTGGATATCTCCAATTTCCTTTTGGCTTATATTATCGATCGCTACACGTTTCGTTGCTTCAAAGGCTCCCATCCTCAATAATAATAGAACTGGAGCCGCCATCAGAAGCTAAATTTACAAGATCCAGACACATGCAACAAGATGAGCGGGATATCCTGGATAGAGAAAGGCGCCTATCCGGACTCTAGGGATCAACCCTTCCCGGACCCTGCAGTGATATACAGGGTGATCCGAATTGTATTCCGGAAACTTCGGCAGCATATTCTGCAGATAAAAATAAGCAAAAACGTTCGTATAAATAAATGCATGTACTAAAATCACAGTTTAAAGAATATAAAATATATCAGTTGACCCACTCTTTGCCCGTATCAAAATTCCTCCCGCCGCTCCCCGCCTGTCTTGTAGACTTGGGTCAGTCTACATCCGTTGCTCGACGTGTACACAGCGTTCCAACTTTATTTTAGTTTTGTTTTCGGCCCGACGCATAGAGTGAACCAAAAATAGTGTTTTAGGTGTTTTGTTCGAATTGTGAATAAAATGTCTACTAGAAATATTTGTGCAGTGGATGGTTGTGAAAGTAGAATGACAGACAATATATCGTTCTTTAGGTGCCCAACAGATGAAGGAAGGTATGTGTTTATATAGTATAGGATATTAAGTATATAATAATTAAAGTATTAGACATATTAAGTATATTATAATTATGGAAACCTAACTATGAATAAATTGTTTTAAAAATATACATATAAATTAAGAAAAGATTTTACTCGGAATATGCACAAAATATTTATTTTTAACAATTAGTTTATTATTTTGGTAGATATTTTAGAGTAGTAGTAGATACTTTACTATTATGTTTTGGATTTTGCAGTATTTACCGGTTTGGAAAGTGCATATTAAATTATTATTTAAGATATTTGCATTTTTTAAATAGCATGTTTTACTTTTTAGATGTTTGTATTTAACTTTAACTACCTACCTGGAAAGTCCAAATTTTATCGTCAGGTAATAAAAATACGTGCATACAACTTCTTCTGCTATTGACAAATTTTTTAGAGTTTTTACTAAATTTTATGTAACAGTAAATATAACAATTGAGGAGCACATGGGAAAAACGATGAGAAAGAAAATGATAAATGTTCAGGAAACCTATTTTTTTGCAAATTAAAAGCCTATGAAAATGAAATTCCATTTGGTGGCCTAACCATTCCTTCTAGAGATATTATTGAATACATATTAAAATTGGAAAGTATTTTTATTACTCAGTTTAATAGCTTAGCATTTAAAGAAGAAATTGGTGCACAGCTTAAAAAAGATTTTTGTAAAATTGTTTTTGAGCATCCATGTATCAATTTCCCATATGAATGTTTTATAAGTTTATATACTAGGGTCCGGATTTATTATATACTAAAATTTATAGATATTAAAACGGTAAAATCAAATAAAAATAATATTATTAAGATTAGTATTCCCAAAAATTTGTAAATATTATTATGTATTCCTACTTCCTACATTTTTCTTCTTTTTTTTTGTTTTTTTCTATGCATCGACCACCAGGATCATTAGCCAAGTAAAACTCGTTACTGATAACACTACAATTACAAGGACTATCTCAATACCCTCAAGGGTTCATTCTTATAAGGACAATTTAAAATTTAAAAATCTACATTGACATAAACATTTCATGTTGAGTGACAAAAGATCATTATGTATTCCTACTTATTATGTGTTACCTTCTTTTGTGTTAAAAATACATTTATATATATATATATAAGTCTAGGGAATTTCATTTTTGTTAAAACCTACTTTATTTTTTAAGTTTATTTAACTTTATTTTTTAAGTTTGCTTTAGTTTAAGAAAAATGTATAAGAAACTTCACAAATACTATCTCCTGATATAACATTTTAATCTGTATTATCTATATTTTTATTTGTAATATTTCACCATTTCACCTGAATATATATATACAGGGTGTCCCAGAAGTAAGTGCAAGTATTTTAACTGGTAGTATAGTTCAACCCCAGAAACACGCCTATGAGTTTTTTTCGCGAACAAAAAAATTTGAAAATTCGAAATTTTTTGAAAATTTTTTTTGAAATTTTTTTAGTCTTTAGTTAAAAAACATAATTTCTTGATAATATGGCAACATAGGTAGTAGATTAAATTTACAAGAAAGAAAATCCAGAGAAGATCCAGCGGTTCTCAAAATTTTAGCAAAAAATATTTTTTTTTGGAAATTTTCAAAGTAAAATAACACCGTTATTTTGGACTTATTTAAAAAACGCTAAAGAGAAAATATGTTTCTTTTATCGAGATCTACCACCCCTTAAAATACTTGCACTTATTTCTGGGACACCCTGTATATGTAGAATTATATAAGAGTTTCTTGCCTTGAACTGCTAATATAGAAATTAATTCCACGCTGTGTTCGTCATAATGTGGATCAACCTGCTCTCACTACCGGTTTCGGGGCCCTACCCCATCATCAGGTGAGCTTGGGTATTTCCACAAAACGACGAGCACAGCGCAGAGTATATACATACGACTTGTCGTAAAGTAGCGGTAAGATATTAAGCCTCCGCATCGCGAGATAGCGGCCTGTGTGCAATGGGAGTACTTTCGTACCACCGAGGCACAACTATCGATAGTAAATAAAGGCTTTTTTCGGCTAGCCCAAAATATATAATGGAAAATAAATTTCTTGCAGTTTTTAGGTATATAATAAAATTATATAAGAGTTTCTTGCCTTGAACTGCTAATATAGAAATTAATTCCACGCTGTGTTCGTCATAATGTGGATCAACCTGCTCTCACTACCGGTTTCGGGGCCCTACCCCATCATCAGGTGAGCTTGGGTATTTCCACAAAACGACGAGACAAATAACGACTCAAATAATACGCTAGACACCAATTTTCATCCAAATATTGACGTTACTTCAGAAATTATTTGGAAAAAATCGAAATAAAAATGAAACTTCTACACCCTGTATCTCCAAAACTAAGCATTTTAGGACATACATTTGTACGAACTTTTTTGCTTACTTTTATCTGCCGAATATGCTGCCGAAGTTTCCGGAATACAGTTCGGACCACCCTGTAAAGTGGATGCTGACCATACATGCCCCTATGTACCGGGTGTTTCTTAATGACAAGCTAATATTTAAGGGGTGATTCTTCGGTTTATAGAAAGGAATATAGAAGATGCCGCATTTCCAAACCTAATTTATTTAAATCTTAATTTTCTGTATAATTTTTTTTCGGTGATTTGTTCCGATATTTTAACAGATATTCTGATATTCATGGCAGAGGCCAATCCAAGAAATCAGAGATCGTTAAAATCGATCCAGCCTTTCTTTATGACTGAGTTTACCCGTTTTTTTTTTAGGAAACATCGGATCCATGATATCGAACATGAACGTGGCCAGGGTTGACTTCCAAAACAGAATGGACGGTGTCAAACAATACATGGCCTTTCGAAAAGTAGGCAGGGAATTAGAAGCAAGAGTGATAAGGTAACTTTGACAATAGAAAAAAATGACTACCTTAAAAATATTTTATCATGAATATTAATAAAAAAGTGGTAATAAGTTAATGATATTTTTTAATTTAAAAAAGTCGAGTTTTCTAAAATTGTTTTGATCATCCTGTAGCATCTAACTCAAATATCTTTTTCATGGTCTTTTTTGGATGGGATCTGATAAAAATTTCCGCTTACTGATCGTTTATGCCCCTAAGGAGTAACTATAACAATATATAACTAACGTTTTTCTCCATAATATCAAATTGAACATACGGGTTTCTTCACAAGCTTATTTGATTTTTTCCTAGATGGTTTGCATACACGTGGCAAGAAAGTGGAGCATTGGACGAAGAAAGAGTCCTTTCAGCCCTACCAGATAAACTAAAAGCTGAAATAGCTATCATGGTGCATCTGGACACGTTGAAAAAAGTCAGGATATTCCAGGATTGCGAACCAGGTCTTTTAGAAGCTCTGGTTCTGAAACTAAAACTTCAGGTAATTTTTATTGCCGTTGCTGATGTTAAGGTGGTATCACACCTGTCAGTTTCACTGAAGCAGTTTGACTGATTCAATTATATAACGTCAATAAAAGTTGGCATGCACGTCATTAAAATATTCGACCACTTCACATCGCAATGTTGCCACGATTTTACTTACTTCGTAATTTTGTCACAGAATTTTTTTATTTCAATTTTAGACACAATACATACCGTATGATCAAAAAAAATTCCTCGTATAATTTTATATAAAAATGACAGCGATCTTCATTTCATAGCCATCGCTGACGCCGTTTTTTTTTTCGATTATATTGTATTATTTTTTTTATATCTCCATAATTACTTTGTCTATGACCATTACACAACAAATTCTAGTTAAATGAAGTTATTAGCTAGTTTTCTGAAGGAAAGCTAAAAAATGTAAAGTTCTAATTGGTTAACATTATTCTTTACCTTTTTGTGAGATTTTACTCACAATCCGTAAACTAATATTGAGCAGAATGAAATTGAAAATGATTCCTGATTCCTCTAGAAATGTAATTTTTGATGATTTTTAGGTTTTTTCTCCTGGAGATTATATTTGTAGAAAAGGCGATGTCGGTAAGGAGATGTATATAGTCAAAAGAGGAAGACTTCAAGTTGTTACTGACAACGGTTCAGCAGTGCTGGCAACGTTGGGAGCAGGAAGTGTTTTTGGTGAGGTATGAGACAAAAATTTAAAAAAAAATATGACTAGCTTTGTCTTAGTACAGTATTGTGAAAACTGCATCTTTGTATCTCTACTCATAAGACACCCTGTACAACAAAGTAATTGTACTCAACTAATGTGGAATTAATTTTCTTTTTTCAGGTCAGTGTTTTGGATATTGCTGGAAACAGGACGGGTAACAGAAGGACTGCCAATGTTAGATCACTGGGATATTCGGACCTTTTTTGTCTGGCCAAGGACGACCTATTGGTAGCTTTATCTGATTATCCAGAGGTAAGATAAGAAAATAGTAATTTAACAAGGAAAAACCTTTAGTGTTTTATGACAAAAATTTGATAAGTCAGATAAGATTTATGAGATAAACGCAGTTTTATTAATCACAATAATTAATAAAATTAAAATAAAATTAATAAATTATTGATTAATAAAATTAATCAATAATTTATTATTAAAATTCATGACACTGATGTTTAGTTCTACATACAGCAAATTAAAAAAAAAAGAATGGTATTTAACATACAGTCTACATAAAAAAAAATCACAATAATTATCATCTTATAATATGAGTTGTTAAAATGTCTTATTCTTTTACAAAATGTTGGTTTGTTTGTCTTCAGCGCTCTGATAAACATCTCTCGATTGCGTCAGACGATAATTGACCAGGGCTTTACTGAAAATCCCGGTTTAAGTAAACGTTAGACCGCCATTTGATTGCTTTTCTTCACTTAATACTCCCCCTCTGTCGGATCTTAAGACAAGAAGTGACAACGAGGAAAACAAGGGATGTGTTTAATTTTAGCCCCTATAGTGTCATCTGGAGACGGTTTTGTATGTATTTCCGGACAAAAACATTCATTTATTATTGTCAGTGACGTACCGCAGTAAAAAAAATGGAATAAAGAAATGAGATTCATAGAAAGTAGAATTATGTAAAATGGTTTAAACGCGTTCGATATGTTATGCTGTTTTTTAGTACCTAGAATAAAAATCAGCCAAGTTTACCATCACAAATATCATGAAATAGTTAAAAAGTGTTTATTTTTGAGTCAGTTTTATTAGTGAATTTTTGGTTTGGCATGTTTAAAAGCTTTGATTTTTGAGATATTTAATAGTTATTTTTTATACGAGACGATAATGCAATTTTATCGTCGTGTATAAAACAATATATTTTTCCATAGCGAGTTACGTTTTAAAAAATATTCAGAAATTATTATTTCAAGGAATTTATTACGAGTAGAAAAAATATTGCGCTGGGTTGGCGTTGGTTTCTATGTAATTTGACAAATAAATAAAGCTGTCTCTTTAGTTGTCAGTTTTGAGTCAATATTTTTTAATTCTCTTTCGTGTCGAATGCTGATTAAATTGGAGCCAGAAATGGCTCAAAACGAAATAAGTAAATTACCAACAGATATTCAGGCTGAGGCGACAAACGCCATATCCAAACTAATTCCATTTAAATCCCGAATAACTTATGAAAAGGAATACAAAAGTTTTCAAAAATGGAAGCAATTAAAAAACGTGCGAGAAGAAATAAAGTTTTTAATCTATCCTCGCTGTTAAAGTATCATTTAATCTACCCTTGGCGGTTAAAGTACTATTTTATCTACTATTTTTGATAGATATAAGGCAATTTTAACAGTTGCTATGGAAAAAAGATATTTAAATATGCGTGTTATAATAAAAATAGATTGTCAACACCCTCTACATTACTTTTCGGAATTAATTCTTGTGCAGAATTTGAAGCCAGAGAAATAAACTTTACTGAAAATTTTAATTACCTCCTTAAATGTATACAGGGGTATCAAAAATTGCTGGTCTATTGTTCAAATGATCTTAAGAGAAAAGTGACAACGAGAAAAAAAAGGGATGTGTTTAATTTTAGCACATCTAGTGTCATCTGGAGATGGTTTTGTATGTATTTCCGGATAAAAATATTTGTTTATTATTGTTAATGATGTGCCGTAAATAAAAAGAAATAAAAAACTAGTAGAATAAAGAATGGAGTCTCATATAATATGGAATTGTGTAAAGCCAAGTATATTTATACAGGGTGAGTCTTAAATAAGTCCAAATATTTTCAGGGCTGGTAGATCTTCATAAAAGGAACATATTTTCTCTTTACCGTTTATCAAATACGTCTAAGATAACGGAGATATTTTACTTTGAAAATTTAAAGAAAAACTGATTTTTCGCTTAAATTTTGAGAACTACTGGATTTTTTTCTGGGTTTTTTTTCTTGTAAATATAATCTACTACCTATATTATGAAGATATTATGTTTTTTAACTAAAGATGGCTAACTATTGGCTATTTATTTTTTAAAGAAGGAAAGTCAATGTAAATTTTAAAAATGTATCACCACAGTAAGTATTTGATATCTTTCTCTTTGTATTTTTTACCCTGTATGAGTATCGTGCACGTCATGAAACTTAATAAAAAACTTACTAATGCCATTTTTAACCAAAAAGAACGTTCTAAACTCCCCCGCTATTAGTTTTTTTCTCGTGTAAAATTAGCATAAACTTAATAAAAACATAACCATACCCGTCGAGGCTTAAGCTTTCATATTTTCGCATAAGCTAACTATGAAATTCGTCCTCTCTCATTTCCCGCTTCGTGAATCAAGATGGCCTGGTTTGTTATCTATGCATTTTTCCGGCAACCGGGAATTTTCGGGATGTGACAACAAAGAACCACGAACATTAAAACCTATAGATCACTCATACCGGGTGTTGCATCATTGAGCGGGACATAGGAAATCCCATGTAAATTTTAATGGGGTCAATTATTGGCTTCCCTAATTATTTTAGAGAATAATTCTATTTAGGTTTATTGAAGAGCACTGGTACTCTTAATAAATAACTGCAAATGTGAAGCAAGGCAGGAACAAAGAGAAGATGCAAGAAATGATACCGACTTAGAAGTTTTATTGTGCGTGGAAGAGAACGATGGAAAGATCAGCATAATTTCAAATATGAAAAGCACCAAGAGCTACGAGATGGGGACGAAATACGGCGGCAGGCGTTTTGTTTTGATATAATGGAAAGAGCAAACACAGATAGGGAATTTTTAAAAAACTCTGACGAATGCACGTTTACCTTAAATAATGAACCCAATGTTCAAAATTATCGATATTGGAACAAAGAAAACCAACACAGGTTTGTCGAAACAAGGACGCAATATCCACGCTAGGGAAAATCAGGAAGTTTGGTACCAAATGGGTGGCTGCCCGGCACATAGTACCCTGGCTGTTCGGGGAATATTTAGACAATAGTTTTAACGGAAACGTTATTGGCCTAAATCATACAGTAAATTGGCCAGCAAGGTCTCCTGATATTTCGCCAAATGATTTCTTTCTCTGGGGCCATTTAAAAAACAGGATATACAAGGATAAAAAATACCCAAATCTAGACGAGTTAAAAAATGCTATTTCTGCCGAATGCAATAGAATTTCAGTTTACCAACTAGCGAATGTAAGAAGAGAATTTTATGATCGCCTGAGTTATGGTCTAGCAGTCGATGTAGGAATATTTGAACATCTTCTTAAATCCTAAAGTTCTAACAATTTAATAGTACCTAAATTAATAAGTTATTGAATATTGTAATAATACTATAATTAACCTTGTAATTGACTACTTTATTTTGCTTTAATTCATATTAATTTGTATTTATAAATACATCTTTAAGATTTCCAATGTAGGAATGAGTTTTCAATAATAATAAAGCACTAAATAGGTAAATTTCTGAAATGACAACTTTATTTGACAGTTATCTTTTACCTTGACTGGTGCCTATGACTGGTGCTCATAAGTAAATACAGGGCCATAAGAAAGGAGAAATATTTAAAAAGAAATCGGCGATAACTCGTAAACGAGCTAATCAAAATATCTAAAGTTATTCTTTTGAATGTGGGTTTTAGTGCTCTTCAATAAACCTAAATAGAATTATTCTCTAAAATAATTAGGGAAGCCAATAATTGACCCCATTAAAATTTACGTGGGATTTCCTATGTCCCGTCCGACGATGCAACACCCGGTATACTTACCTATACAATTAAGGCATTCTATTACTTTTAATATTGATGGTTACAACACGAACTTTATTCAAACGAACAGTCCGGATAAAAAATATTGACAAAAAACACAAATTTGTTTGTTTGTTTTTCATCGAAAATGAAAGAAGCGGTAAACAGAACAAACCAATCTTAAAAATGGCTGAAAAGAAGCTCTTCATAAGTGTTTCGTTCGCATAACAATAATAGTTTTATTCAGTGCAAATTTCATTTCCTATAACACTGTTTTGTATAGAGAAATCAATATAAATTGGTGTGCACGTCATCAAAGACGTCGAATAACTTTGTTAACGCGTTGACAAGGCTGATTTGATTTCCTCTTACGTCTCAAGTGCTGTACGATGGAGACACCAATCGTTATGCGGCCAACGCATAAAACACTTATTTTTCCTAATTCGGCCAGCGAAGGCGCATCGAAGACGGTGTGGATATGAAAGCAACAGTGTTGCCATATTACAATGTGTAACATCTGTAATACGTTTGACGAAAATATCTTTGGATGAAAAATCCACGTTTATGTATTGAAAATTTATTCGTGTTAAACATAGAATAAACAACAAAAATAAAAATTCTTTTACACAGTTACTGAATACTTCTCGTGTGATCGAAAAGTCCCGTTTGGATTATTTCGAAATCCCACGATTGTGATATTTACCATAGCCAATTTTACATATGAAGTAACAGCGATCTTCATTTCAAACCAACTCCTGACGCCGTTCTTTGTTTAATCATGCCAATGACCTTATTAAATTTATTTTAATGATAAAAAATCCGAATAATTAACATACTGTACACAAAATCCGTAAAATCTACGAATTAATTTGTAGTTCTGGCAACACTATCTCCAGCAACCACTCACTCTATCGACTGAAAACAGAACTACGGTACAGTGTTCTTTATCCACTACACTATAAACAAACTAAATCAACCTGAAATGTATAAGCTCCGCTAAGTCTCAGACAGACAACGGAAACGCTAGTTGTCTTGGACAATACATTGTTTTGAATTACCATGAAATTTGCCATGAAGTTACTTTAACAAAATACTTTCGAAAACGTTTGACTAACTGTATTGTTTTTTATTCTGGATTTTAAATTGTCTTCGTTGTTCCATCATTTTTAAAATATCTTCAGTCATCCACTCGTTTTTCGCTGTTGTTCGATTAGCCGTGAGGAGGTTTTCATTTGTGTTCTTGAAAGCTT